AGCACATGGGGGAAAAGGTAGGTGGAGAATGAATATACATTTACTTTTATGCTACAGTACTCTCTTTGCTGCTAAGAGAAACAGAACTCTCCTTTCTTGCCTTGAGTCTGAATGATGCAAAAAATTAAAAGGTAGGCAGGCAGGAGGCAAGGGTAAGAGGGGAACTGGTGGGAGACTGCAGCAGGAGGCCCTGATTCCAACAGCCCCGGGCATCTGAGGAGGATGATTTCATGTCAAGCAACCTTGTCGCCTGACCCTTCACCTCTGAATGTGCAAGGCTAAGCCAGCAGCTTTCTCTTGAGTTTCTCGGCCATGGCCACCCTGTAGTAACACGATTATAATCAACAAACTTAGCACAGTTATTTCAGTGAATCCTCCTGAGGAAATACTGAAATAGCATCTCCCTCCTCTATTAAATTTGAAAGGAGGAAAACTAAAAACAGAAACGAACTGGAAACCTCGGGAATGTCAATATTTGTATTAGCAAATTTAAAAACTGAATTCGAAAGATCCAGAAAGAGGGAAAATTTTCAAGCTGAGGCCACCATTAGTGTGAAATTTCTGGGCCACGTATGTGGTCCCAGGTGTGACTGGGGGGACTGGGTGGGGCTGGGATAGACAGGAGGAAGTTAAGAAGAAATGTGCAGCACAGTGGAAGAAATTCTAAGACACTGAGGCCATTAGAAACATCCAGGTGAAAGGCTAAACTATGAGAAAGAGTAAAAAGATCACTTGTTGGGGGAGTGGGAAAATGAGTAGTTGGAGCACACGTGATTTGTAAGGAAGTGAGACTATTCTGTATGGTACTGTAATAGTGTAATAATATGATACTGTAATAGACTATTCTGTATGATACTGTAAAACGTTTGTCAAAACACACAGAATGTACAACACAAAGGATGGACCCTAATGTAAACTACAGACTTGAGTTAATAATAATGTATCAATATCAGCTCACCAATTATAATAAATGTACCACACTAAGGAAACTGGGTAGGAAGCGATATTGAAAGACTATTCGTTAAAAAAAATCAAACCTGAAAACAAATCCAGGAAAAAAATTGTAATTAAGTATTTTACTTGTTTTGGTTTACCTGAAAATCATTTAAACTTCTTTTTTTGATGCACATATTAACAATTGAAAAGTTTATCAATTCTAATAAGAAATGATAATTTAATAAAAGCACAGAATCTTTGGATTGTTTAGTTCTATAATGCAGTTATAGGAGAGGTCATAACAAAAATGTCTACAGGCAGCTAGCTGAGTACAGTAAAGTGAAAAGAGCAAGTTTCTTAACTTTGAGCATCACCGATTCCTTCATCTATAAAAAGGGACAATAACAGCCACCATGGGAGGACTGAATGGTGCCTAGCACAATGCCTGGTACTTGGTGTATGCTTGATAAATGCTGGCTACTGTAATTTTTCATATGTTACATTATGCTCCTACCAGGGCTAACATCATGCATTTAATCAACTTACATGCCAGTTAGCTTATTTCTATCTCAAGGTTACAGAACACACCCCAGCCCCACTTATCTGGAAAAAGTGTCCACTGCACCTCTAGAATGAATGCTTAGCTCTTCTAATGTGGGGAGGTGAGCAGCGCCGTAAGGAATGGTTAAGGATTTTGACTCCATCATACAGTCTGAGTGTTACGTCTTTCAGAAAGGTGTGGGTGAGGAAACACGAGCTGGGGGACCCTTCCCTCATCAGCCAAGGCAATCTTGAGACACAGACCCTGAACACACCTGGATTAAAGATCTGTAGGAGGGAGGGGGCTCTGGATGGCAGTTTGGCCAGAAGCCATGGTTGAGCTGACACAGCCCAGTCCCACTCTTGCCAAACAGTTTCAGTCAGCATGAGGGCATGTGTGAGTGAGTCCTAGAGCAATTACACAGCAGTGTACAGAATCGAAAAGCATTCAAGGGCCGAAGGATGCTCACTATGCCAGGCATCAGCAACACAGCCCTCTAAACAGGGACAGGAAACAAGCCAGGTCCCTCTGTAGATTCAGTGTGTGGTCTGGCCATACCCCCTGGCAATCTTGAAGGCAGGTTGAGAATTCCCTTGGCAACCACGTGTGGTAGACTGAATGGAAATCTAGTCCAGTTTGGAACTGATAAGGCTTTTGGGATAGAAGACCTTAAAGGGACAGAGACAGTGGAAGAAGGAAGAGATTCTCGGGATGGTTCTGAGCAGTGAGGGCCTTCACAGACAAACCCCCAGGCCTCAAGACACTGACAGTAATGAAGACTAAATGTACGTATTACAGCAGCAAGGGTAGAATAAAAAAGGTCTTGTGCACCAATCTTAAAAGGGTTTTCTTTTCACTCATTAAGGCTATGATTAGATCCCGGTAAGGGCTCTATGAATGCCCCAGTATGCCCCAGTAATGCCATGAGGACAGTTATACTCTAATACATATACTCTATATTACTCTTATTATTAAAATTGCAAGAAAAAGGTACGATGATGATCAGCTTTGAAAAATCTTAAAAACGTAAAAAAATATACATACAAATGCATTTTTATTTGTCTACGGCAAATAACTGGGTCATCGGCTGTGCTAGGGCAGTACAGATCCTCCAAGCTAACAAGGCAATCTTCTCTCCAGCTCGCTGGCTGGTACTCTAAGCACACTTCATCATGTAGCAACAACTTTGCCATTCCAAGTCACACCCTGCTGCTCATAATGCTTCATTCTTTAGGGTTCTGACCCCCTACACCAGCACATCCCAGCATTAACCAAGGGTTCCCGACTGTAGAATTCTAACACCCATGGTTACCTTCCTGCTGTTTTCCCTGTCTAGTCTCAGGTTGTAGATTTCTTCAGGTTCCTTTGGGCTAGTCTAAGAGTACAGATTCCAGTGCTATACAGACTTAACTTAACCTTTTACCCACTTGTTTCACTTTGGAAAAATGACTTAACTAGACCCTCAATTTAACTAATTTGTAAAAATGAGAGTAATTTCTTAATCTCACATGTTTATTGCAAGGATTAATTTTATGTAACATACATGAAAACCTAGCACAGTGCTTGGCGGATAGACTCTCCCTCCACCCTCAGATCCCCTGCCCACACCTTGTATCCCACTTTCTGGATTTTTAAGAAAAAAGAACAGACAAGAACCTGAGCCTGTGAGATCAGGATGGCTTGGCTTGCTTGACCTGACATCTCGTCATGAGACTGACTTGCTTATTCGGTCAAGCTTGCAAGACTGTAATACAGTGAATGGAGGGTATGAACTTGAAATAAAAATATTTATTTTTACTCCACCTCATTCCACAAAGAATTTGATGCAGCTTGAAACCAATTTCAACAATGTAAATTTTATCCACCAGTGGTATTTTGAAGTTGAAGGGGGATAAAAAATAAAATTTTAATATTTAGTATATTTTTCCTTGGTATTGGGACCTAGAACACCATAGTCATTGTAGATACACTTTTTTTAATGTTAGCCAGAAACTTTTATTTTAATCCATTAAGCACAATAGGCACAATGCCTAAGGCCTATGATCTTTTCAAGGCCTGCAAAGTTGTTTGAAGTGTGATGAAAATTATTATTATTAGTTTTTTGAAGTATAATTGATGTATGACATTATGTTAGTTTCAGGGGTAATATAGGTATGGTTTTAAATAAAAACAAAGAGATGTTTTTGTGGGAAGGCAACAGTGTGTGTGTGTTGGGGGGTGTTTACATGGGGTGGAGGGAGGGAGAGGGAGAATCCTATACTTTCTCCTTGGACTGTCTGGATTATGTCATAGCAAAAATACAATCAATGACCCTTTGATCAATGGAACAGGGTGGTGACAGGTACTCTTAATTCACTGTTGTTGGTGATTATTGACAAGCTGGTAATGATCATGCTGCACGGTGTCACTCATGCTAAGGGCATTAGCATTCTTTAAAGGTCAAAAACAAATTCTTTTAAAACTCAGAATTTCTTAGAAATCCAGGAAGCCTCAATTTTTTTAAAACAGTTTCACACTATAGACTAGGGACTATGTGAGACACTCAGGATTTCAGTTCTTTCCC